TAAAAATAATAGAAATAATTTATGCCCATAAATTTGTTGATTTTGGTAATTTGTGTCTTTTCTCTGTTTCTTTGGTGAGACTAGATAGCATTTTATCTGCTTTGTTGCTGTCAAATAACCTGATTTTGGTTTCATTGATTTTTCTTGCTGTGGAGAAAGCTGTTTACTGATTTGAGATTTTTCCTCCATTCTAACGTAAACATGTAATAATGCTTCTGAGCACTACTTAAAATGCCTTTAATTGTTTGCATTTTCATTCAACTCTTAACATTTTTTAAAGATTTATTTTGATTTATGCATACAAGAACTGGGGTATGGGCCAAAGATGCAGGGGGTGATAGGATTCACCAGAGACAGAGTAGGGAGCTGAACAGACAGATAGACTGAAATACACTGCTGAGGGGAGCAACTGGCAGGTTAGGAAAGGTCTGCTGCACCATGTGGATCACCTCCCTGGCTGGGGATGGACCTCCAGCTGCAGTGACTGCTCACAGCTTCCTTGCACTGCACTTTAACTCATTGTGCCACCAGAGGGGGCCCCAACTCAAAACATTTTTAACATTTCTTGATAATTTCTTTTTAATCTATAAGCAGTGTAGAAATGTGTTATTTAATGGCCAAGTTCTTGGGTTCTTTACACATTAAAAAGAATGGATACACATATAGTTGGTTTCATCAATTTTCTTTTACTGCTGTCACTCTCTACTTTGTATATTTAAAACTCTGTTATTAGGTGTAAAAACATTCAGAATTGCATGTCTAATTGGTTTGTCAGCCCTTTTATCATCATGTAATACTTTGATTACCCTGATAAAAAAAATGAGAAATGCCTCTGTTTTATATCTGTGTGTGTATACGGGTGTATCTCTAGACATTTACTTTTTCTATTTTCTTCCAATCCTGAAATTTCAAATTTCTCTATTATTTCCATTCAGCTTGGAGAAATTCGTTTAGCATTTCTTTTAGAACAGTTCTGTTGCCTTTGAAGTTCTTGGTTTTCATTTCTTGGAAAATATCAGATTTGTTATTTTTTTTTGGGTATACAATTCTGAATTGATAATTCTTTAAACTTTTAAAAAAACGTTTCCATTGCCTGCTTTCTATATGATTTTGGATGAGATATCTGCTGTTATTTGAATTGATGTTCCTCTTTCTGTTATTCTTTATGTCCCCCCCCCCCAGGATTATTTCTTTATATTAGATGTTTATAGCTTGGTTATGATGTATCTGATTATGAATTTGTCTGACTTTGTTTGGGGTTTGCCGATCTTGTTTTTTCCACTCTCTCTCCACTTATTCTGGACTCCAAGACATGAAAACTAGACTTTTTGCTGTGTTCTTATAGATCCTTGATGATGTGCTTTGCAGATTTTCTGTCTTGTCATTTTCTTCTTCGTCTGATTAGTTGCTATTCATCTGTCCTTAAGTTCACTATACATTTATTTGCACTGCTGTCACCATTCTGCTTTTGATCCTTTCCAGTTTAACTTTTTTCCTTCCATTTGAAAAATGCTCACTTAATTCTTTTTTCTATTTCCAGTTGAGTACTTCTCAATAGGTAGGTGTTTTAACACTATTTTACATTTATCTCATGAAATATGTCTATAATGGCAGCTTTTAAAGCTTTTAATAATGCTGTCATCTTGATCATGATAGTATTGGTAACTGTTGATGGTGTTTTCCTTTGGTATTAATCGTTCCCCTTTTGAGTAACTTTGGATTGTATCATGGATGTTTGAATATTATCATGAGAAATTCTTGGTCTCAGCATTTTACAGAGAATTTTGTTTGGTTTAATGGGTGTTATTTTCATTTTGTCTTCTTTTTTTGTAATTATAATGTCAGCTCAACTTACAAAAACTTTGTGGTATTTTCTTTGGACTTTTTCTGTACACCTGCAACCTTGCATTTAACTAGGATTTTTGTTGCTTCATACATAGAATTAGTGGACCCTTTATTCCAAATCTCTTTCATCCCAGGGGCCCCTTTTATTGTTTTCTCGCTAGGTAAATGGAGTTTCTTACAGAGTTAGAGCCACCTGTGCTGCTGTATAGTTTTACATAATTTGGACGACATCTTTCATGATGAAGTAGTAAGAAAGATGGGGATTCCTTTCATACCCGTTGGTCCACAGAGCTCCCTTCCTGTTTTTTTTTTTTTCTTTTTCTTCTTTTTCTTTCTCTCCAGAATAAGGTTTATATTTACAATTTGTGCCTACCTGGTGCCCACAAAGCTGCCATGTTACAGCTCTGCAATAGTAGAAGGAAGACAAAAGAGGAAAGTAAACCTAAAATGAAGGACACTTCTTAGGTTTTCTGTTTCTGTCTGGTGCATATCTTTAGTCGTATGTCTTGAAAGAAGTCTTTAACTTTGAATTTTTGGTGTGCTTGCTGTGCAGTTTTGCATAGAGGTTATCCTCAATTCCACAATTGGGCGATTAAAGGCAAAACCAAAAACAACTTACTGACTCATTCTCATTGTTGTACATTATTTAACTTTTGGTCCATCTCCCCAGTCCATCTGATTTTAATCTTTTGGAATTCTGACATTATTGCTCTTAGTTGTCCATAGGTTTTCATTGTCATGAGTGGAAGTGAAAAGTTGTAGTGAGCCTGACTCCATCTTTTTTCTGGCATTGGACATTTCACTGCGCAATTATTACACATCATTTTTACTTCTCACTTGACTGTTTGATTGGGAACAATAGTTGTAAAGGGAAGGTAGTTGTTTGCCAGGGGATAAAATGTAAGCATAAAAGAGATTCTTGCATAGTATCTACAACTTTTGATAGTACAAAGGTAAAAATGATTTTAGATCCTAGTTATGATAGGAATTATTTGTATACTTCTTACTCTGTTCCAGATGCTGTTCCAAAAAAATTTTATTCTCCTTTAGTTCTTCCAGTAATCTTATCAGGTAAATACTTATTTATCCTCATTTCAAAGGGAAAGTTTGGATACAAAGATATTAGATAGTTTGCTTAAGTTTACATAGATGCTAACTGGTAGAACTATGATTCAAATCTTGGATAAGACAGTTTAGATTTAAAGCACATGATCTTGTTAAAATTTTCACTTTAATATCATGGAAAAATTTGAATATATAAACAAACCAAAGTAGAAAATAGTAAACTCCCCATGTATCATTTGACTGGGTTCAACAGTTTTCAATATTTACTTTCTTAACTTTCTCCAGTTTTGATTTTTGATAAGAAATCCAAAAGCAAATGCTTGATATATTATCTGTGATAAATACTGTAATTGTGAACCAATATGTATAATAGCTTAAAAACCATAACCACACTATGACTATAACCACAATATAAAGAATATTTTTATAATAATAACCTACATAATAAAGAACCCACAATATAAAGAATATTTTCCTTCTAATCTAATGTCTATCTCTTTGGTTTTCATTTTTATGTGTTTGAATCAAAAGCTTCTTCCTATAGTTGACTCAGTGCAGGATGTCATTGTGGCCCATACATTTGTATTGTCGATACATCTCTTTATCATAAAAAAGTATTGATTTTAACCTTAACTCTAACCTTATTTTTATGATTTTAACTGTTTAAAATAAACTTTTCATTTTGGGATACTTCTGAATAAAAGTTGCAAAGATAATACAGAATTCACAGCCACACTTTAAGTTTCCCTGAGTTTGATTATTTTACTTTACTATCGTACATTTGCCAAAATTGAAGTCACCATTGATAAGCTTTTTCTAATTCAGTTGCATTAGTTGTCAGTTCTTGGTTTCTTCTTCTTTATATTAATTTTTTAGTTTTTCCTCATTTTTCATGAAGAGTGTCATAGTTTTATTGAGAAATAATTGACATATATCACTTTATTAGTTGATGGCATATGGCATGATGGTTTAAGTATCATATATTATGAAATGATTGCTACAACAGATTCAGCTACCATACACCTCCCATGGATAGAATAGAAAGAAGAAGAAAATAAATTTTCCCTGTAAAAATGAACTTTTTTACTCTCAATAACATTCTTATATGTTCATATAGCAGATGTGTTAATGAAGTCATCATGTTGTACAGTAATGCACTTATTTTCTATACCTAATTCTTATTTACCGTATAACTGGATGTTTGTACCTTCTTGGCCCCTTCCTTTAATTTTCTTTCCACCCATAGGAGTTTGGACCAGATATTTCATTGGATGTCGTAAAATTGTACATATATTTTTTTCAGGTTTGGATTAAGGTTGTGTTTATGAAAATGATACATGAAACAGACGAGCCCTTCTTAAAATTTATTTTTGTTTTATTTTTCCAAAAAATTCCTATTAAAAAGTTCACATGGTTTCAGAGTCAGAAACATAAGGCCATATACTTTCATAGTACTCTGACTTTCATTGTTTTTGCATTCTAGTCCTAAAAGTAAGCATTTTTGTGCCTATTAGTTTTTGGCTTATATGGTCAGTCTCACTCTTTTTCTGTCTCTATCTCTCTCACACACACAAATGTCTACATGCATGTCTATCACTTTTCTACCTCCTTCTTATACAAAAGGTAATGTTAGCCCATTTTTTTTTAAAAGATTTATTTATTTATTCATACAGAACTGGGGTACAGGCCAGAGATGCGGAGGGTGAGAGGCTTCACCAGAGACAGAGTGGGGAGCAGAACAGGCAGATCGACGAAGTACACTGCTGAGAGGAGCAGCGGGCGGGTCTGGAGAGGTCTGCCTCGCCATGTGGATCACCTCCGGGGCAGGCGGGATCGAACTCATGCGGAAGTGGCTTAAGCTTCTTTGTGCTGTGCTTTAACCCGCTGTGCCACCAGGGAGGGCCCTAGCCCATGTTTTTAACATCTGTACCCAGTTTTCTTTTTAGGGAAGCCCTAAACAATGGCTTATTCCTTAACGGCTATTTGTATTAAAGATGTTTTCTGTTTTAGAAATTAATTTTTCTAATTTATCAGCCGCTTCTTGTGCCTTTAAAATGTTTTATGGATATGATTCTTTTTATCATTCACAGATATTTTCCAATTTATCCCTGGATGAGCGTTGTCTTTCCGCATCATTGGTTTGCAAATATTGGCGGGACCTTTGTTTAGATTTCCAGTTTTGGAAGCAGCTGGACCTTAGTAGTCGTCAGCAGGTATGCCATCTTAATTCTAAGGAAATGCTTAATTTGATCCCTCAAACTTTAGTTCTTTCTCACATTGTATTATTTCAAGATAGCTTAGATAAATGTAGTGTATAATTTTGTAACATAGTACTTTTTTTGTGAGAAAAATTAAAATTGGGTTCTTATGGTGAAGAAGGGTTTTTTTAGTGTAGACTTGTAATTTTCTGTTCCTTCTTAATTCTCTTTTTCCTTTCCCTCTTTGATTACCTTTTAAAAATTATTAAACTTCTTTTTGTGAAGAGTCATTTAATAATTATTTGGTTAATAGTAGAAAATAATGACACATATTTATATAGTACTCCCAGTATGCCGTGTACTATTCTGTTTGTTATATATATATATATTAATCCATTTCATCCTTTAAACAACCTTATGATTTGAAACTATTACTGTTCTTATTAAATATTATACTATTAATAAGAGTATCTATTACTATAGCTAAATGGAAATGAGCTAAATTATTTTTCAGTTTTCTTTTTAATGAATTTTCTAGTATTCCCTATTGTCTCACTGTCTAATTTGTTTATATGTTTGCATTAAAATGAAGGAAAAGGATCAGAGTTAATACTTATTGTAAACAATTTGTTATACTGGATTCCTGCTTTAAACTGTTGTTAGTATTTGACATTGCAAATACATAAAAATTTTCAATAAAAATAAATTTTTAAAAAAGAGTTATTTTTATTTATGTGTACAAGAACTAGGGTAAAAGCAGGGAGTGAGAGAGGATTCACCAGAAAAACTGGGGAGCAGAATAGGCATGTCTAATGAAATACACTGTTGAGAGGAGCAGCAGACAAGAAAGGTCTTGGATAAGGGTTGGAGCTCAGCTGCAGTGGTTGGCTGTAATTTGATATTGATGTAACTTTAACCCCTGTGCTACCAGGGAAGCTGCCAAAATAAAATTTCATTGGAGTTCTTAACTTGATTTAATTATTTCTGTGATATTATTAGTAATTGTGTTTAACAATTTTCAAAAGCAAACACGCATTTACCTCTGATTTGTAATACTTGTTAGTTTTTGTAGTACAAATATTTTCTTTTGTAGTACTTTCAAGGTACTGATGTGATGTCTCACAATGCAGTAATGTCACTGATTTGGAAAGAGGTATAAACAGTAGCTTCTTGTGAGATAGATGGTAAAAGTCAACTCCAGGGCCCACCCTGGTGGCACAGCTGGTTAAAGTGCAGCACTGTGAAGCTAAAGACACTTCAGCCTGAGTTCGATCCCCAGCTCCCGAGGTGATCCACATGGCTAGGCAGCAGACCTCTCCTGACCCGCCCACTGCTCCCCTCAGCAGTCTACTTGTCTAGCTGCCTGTTCTGCTCCCCACTCTGTCTCTGGTGAATCCTCTGACTGCCCTTGCACCTCTGGCCTGTATCCCAGTTCTGTATGCAAAAATAAATCAGTCTTAAAAAAAAAATGTGACCTCTATATACCACTGATATTTTTTCTGTCTAATACTTGTGTATGACATGTAACCTTTAAACAAACTAAGCAAGTTCCACGTTATTTGTGGATAAATTTTCTTTTTCTCTCTCATTGATAAGAGGTTGAAGTAGTTACAGAATTAGTCATCAACCTACCTGGTTTTATGGAGTCTTTTTTTTTCATGGGGAATGGTGATTATTTAGTTAATTAAGACTGGTAGTGTGGCATGAAGTAATGTGAGATAACCTACTGCTCTTCATTACTCCTGAATTTTTGAGCTACTTGTCAAAAACTCAGACTGATGAATGGCATTTCCTCTCTGGAGATGAATAAATAAATCAAAAGAGAGGTATCTTAGAGTTTTTGTTTTGAAGGAAACTGTCAGCATTTGTAGACAAATATAAACAAACATAATTTCAACCTTGGCTATAGCTCATAATAACCCCACCTTGGCTATTGCTCATAATAACCCTCAACACAACAATTCTTTTATTTTGCGGTTCTAAATTTTATCACATATCTTTTTTCATTCTGCCCCTTTTTACTCGAGACTTCAATAATGTTAATTATCTTTTTTTTAAACAATGTAATAATGAGGCCACAAATATGTATAAGTAGATTAATTTTTTTTTCCAGATGGTCATGAAATGTTTTTTGCAGGTAGATTTTAAAGTTATATGTATTTAGCTTGAAGTCCACTAAGAAAAGCTATTTGATATGGCCATTGGTAGTCTTTGGTGTGCTGATAATACAAAATGATACATTTTCTAAGATATTGATGAGTTATGTATTTTCATAGGAGTAGTAAAATATTGTGATTTTATATACTATTCTGTCACCTAATAAAAGTGTAAAGTCAAAATTTATACTCCATGATGAATAATATACACTGCTGGGTTAAATATAGAGAACAAAACATTTTAAATCCCTCATTTCATTTGTGTATAAAATGTTAATTAAATTTTTGCAATAAGGATAGATTTTTTTAAATTGAAATAAGAACATACATTCTTCCTTGGTGTTTTCTAACACTATTTCTGATACCATATGTGGAGTTTTTTCTTTCCTAACAGCAAATTATCTGATTCCAACTAGTATCCTGTCAGTATCAGTTCAGCTCTATTCTCACACTACCTCCTAGAGTTAGTGCAGTTCTCACAGGTTAAGGGCTTCGTCCCATTTTCTATCAGTCACAAATCCCAGCAGCTACCCGTGCTTTTGACTAACCAGTTATAAATTTCCCTCTTTGTCATCTCTTGTAGTTTAATAAATTGTTAGAATGGCTTATAGAACTCAGGGAAATATGTACATTTACTATTTTATTGAATAGTATATAGCGCAAGACAACTGAAAAAGAAACATAGGGCAAGGTTTGGGAGGAGAGGACATGGAACTTTCTTACTTTCTGTGGATGTGTCACCCTTCCAGAACTTTGATGTATTTCCCAAAGTTCTTTATAACCCAGTTTTCACCACTTCTCTTCCAGGAAGTCAGGTTGTGGGACTGAAAGTTTATGTCCTCTAATCAAGTGGTGTTTGGTCTTTCTGATAACCAGCCCCCATCTTCCTTGGTATAAATGCATTTTGTGGCCAAAAGGGACTCATTATGAATAACAAAGACAATTCAGGAAATTTCTTGGATTTTGAGAGCTCTGTTCCAGGAATTCAGGACAAAGACCAAATATATCTTTTAATTAGCACTGTAGTTCTTATTTTAATATTAAATAACATTTTTAATTATGATTTTTTCCCTATAATAATTGTATTACTTGTTGGAGAAAAGTAAAACAAGAATAGAATGCAAGTTTCATTTATCTTTAAACTTACTGCTTTTTTCCCTCTCATAGGTCACTGATGAATTACTGGAAAAAATTGCATCAAGAAGTCAAAATATAATTGAGATCAACATTTCTGATTGTCGCAGTATGTCTGATACTGGCGTATGTGTTCTAGCATTTAAGTGTCCTGGACTACTTAGGTATACAGCATACAGGTGTAAACAGCTTTCTGACACCTCAATTATTGCGGTTGCCTCTCACTGTCCTTTACTTCAGAAAGTTCATGTAGGCAACCAGGACAAACTTACTGATGAAGGACTCAAACAGGTAAATTTTAGAAACTATAAAATAATTCTACTGATATTAACTAGAAGTGTTTTCTTATAGTGAAACTTTAAAAGATTGCTATGTTTAAATTAATGCTCAGAGACTAAAGTCAGTCATCTCTTTTATGTGTTCTGTTTGGGACATTAAACTAGATTGCCATGGTGATAATGTAAATTAATTTTGTTGTGTTTGGGACATTAAACTAGATTGCCATGGTGATAATGTAAATTAATTTTGTTGTGTTTTGTAGTACCTGGATTCTGGTACTAGATACTTTATTATAATTTATTTTTTTACTTACATTTTGTCCTTAAATTTACTTTAAATAACAGTGTACAGTTTGGGTCAGCATGCTTTCAGATATTGTTATAAGGCATAAATAGTCAAGTTAAAAAGTATAAAATGAACCGAAAGTACATATATTTGGCACTGTAATTAGATTAAAAATAGTAGCAAGTATCTTCTTCTTTTATGCACTTTCTTTGGAAATGGCCTTTAAAGTTTCTTGTCTAAGTGGATTATTCATTTGATGAATATTGAATGTATTCTACATGGTAGGCCCTGGATTTGTGGATATTTGCAATACTTAGTAATGCTCTCACTATTGTACTAGGCACTGGGAGAACTTTTTTTTATTTGTCTGACTCACACCCACCCCAGCTTTGCAAAGTCTTGAAAATAGCAACTCATATCCATTGTAGGACCCAAATATTTGGTTCCAGAGGGAACCTACAGGCTTTATTGTCCAGTGACTGATTTTGTCTGTTCTAACATTCTTGGCAGCTTCTGGAAGGACTGATACAAGGCACTTATATCTGTTTCATATAGTTCAGAAACTTTTCAGGATGGAAAATAGTGGGCATTGAACAAAAGCATTGTAATACAAATGAAATGTTTGAATTTGAGGCAAAAGATAGTGCATAGTCATGTGGACCATCTAAGGCCTGTTGAGGAAAAGTGAGGGAGATAATTGCTTTAGGAAGCTAGGACTGATTCAGAAGTACTAGTGTTTATAGGTAGCTTTAGGAAGTCATGTACCTGCCCAGTACAGGAGTAATGCTTGGGAAAGACTTGAGACTTCACACGTTAGTCACTGGCTGCTCTTAGTGCAAGAAGTAAAAAGGCCATGGAAGAATTGTAAATGACATGGCTACATGTTAAAGGAGTATCCAAAGACAGAACAAGTCTGCAAAAACTCGAAGTATTTTTGTTTTATTTTTAAGCTTTTGGCATTCAGGAAAATATCTGCAAAACCACAAGATAAAACTTTAATAATCAAATAATAATCCCTAGAGGAGGGGTGAACTCTTGTTAGCAAAGAGGGCTCTTTTTAAATCTGATTTCTCAAATTCCTATATCATATTACATTATAATATTTGCATGTCTAATTTTGAGTTACCATTAATTAAAATTGTTGGGCTTTTGAGGAACTTGAATTTTTGGTTGCTTCAAAAAAAAAAAGGCAGAAATCATTATTGAGGTAGCCCAGACATTGGATTTAATACACAAAGATTTTAAATGAATTAGCTTAAATATGCTTAATGGGCTAATGGGGATAACGATCAGGGAACTGAACAGACATGTGAACAAAATGAGAACAGTAAAGAACTGGAGGTTACCAAATAGATCAAAATGGGAATTCTGCAGCTGAAAATTACAATTATTGATAAAATTCTCCACAGTTTGTAACATCAGATGTGAACAGACAGAAGAAAGAATAGGCAATACTGAACATAGAATATTTGAAATTATTCAGCCTCAGGAACAAAAAGAGAGTGAGTAAAAGTCAACAGAGGCTAAGGTACTTTTGGGACTCATAGCAGAACAACATTTACTTTCTGGGAATCCCAGAAGAAGGGAAAGTAAATGAATCAGCAAGTATATTTGAAGAAATGACCGTCCATACTTCTCAAATTTAATGAAACTATATCCAAGAAATTCATGAATTCCAAGCATGGTAATATCAGATAGATCTGATTGACATACTTTATAGTCTGTTAAACGCCAAAAACAAAGTAAGTATCTTGAAAACAACAATGGAAAAATAACTCTGTGCATACAAAGGACACTCAATAAAATCAACAGTTGGTTTTTTCATTGAATGCTTGGTGAAAGAAAAATGTCAACCCAAAATTCTACAACTGGCAAAACTATTCTTTAAGAATGAAGGTGACATTAAAGTATTTCCAAATACACACTGAGGGAAATCATAGACTTACCCCGTAAGAAGTGCTTAAAGTAGTCCTTTAAGTTGAAATAAAAAGACTAGATGATTACTGAAAGCCACATAAAGAAAAAAAATACAACACTGGTATAGGTAGCAACATAATAAAAGTTAATTTTATTATACTTTAGGTTTGTAACTCCTTATATTTTCATATATGATTTGAAAGGCAAATGTATAAACTGTAATTATAAACTTATGTTAGTGGACAGATGATATATAAATATGTAATCTGTGCTAATGATATAAAGGAGGAAGGATAGACATAAACAGGAAGAGAGTATACAATATAGAAACCACATTGTTATTTAAATTGGTCAATTATAAGTTAAGGTGATAAACATTATATAAATTATATGCAGGTAAGTAATGAGAGAACAGTCATTTTATACAATGCATAATGTCTACTGATTACAAATATGCAGCATGGAGGAAATGATGAACCCCAAAATATATATAATACATACAGCCAAAAATAGCTAAATGGCAGACAAATACTACCTTATCAGTGGATACTTTGTTATGCATCATTTGGTTTTCTCATTGAAAGGCAAAAAGATTGCAGACTGAATGACAAGAATATCAATCATAGATAATAAAGTCCATAAAAGACTCATTTTAGATAAAATAAGTGAAAGTCAAACAATGGGAAAAGATACTCAGTTCAAATACTAATAACCAAAATAGGAATAGCTATGTTATTATCAGAAAAAAAGTTAAATCAGGCCCTCCCTGGTAGCACATCGGGTAAAAGCACAGAACTAAGAAGCTAAAGCCACTTCAGCATGAGTTCGATCCTGGCCCTGTAATGATCCACATGGTGTGTCAGACCTCTCCTGGCCTGCCTGCTGTTCCCTTTAGGAGTATACTTCGTTGATCTGCCTGTTCTGCACCCTACTCTGTCTCTGGTGAATCCTCTCACAGCCCCTGCACCTCTGGCTGTACCCCAGATCTGTATGCATAAATAAATAAGTCTTTAAAAAAAAGTTAAGTAAAAAAAGACAAGGTTATTATATAATGAAAAGGAAGCCCAGGAAGATATAATAATTGTAAATATATAGACACATAAAACCAGAGCCCCTACGAATACAAAATGAGAGGAGTTGAAGATAGAAATTGTTAAATAGTAATAGTTTGAGAGTTTGATGCCCATTTTCAATAATGGGTAGAAAAACTAGCCAGAAGAAAATAGAGGACTTGACAAAACTATAAACCAGTTATTTCTAACATAAATAAATATAACTGACAGTGAACAGTCAATTGAGATACTGTAGACTACCTTCGGACCAGCCACATAAATAAATATACAATGCACTATAATCATTAACAGAATAATACTTATTCTTAAGTGCATATAGAACAGTTTCAAAATTAGATCATATATTGAACCATAAAACAGTTGTAATAAATTAAAAAAGATTCAAGTCAGATAAGTATCTTCTCTGACCATAATGGAATGAACCTAACACTCTCCTACAATCAGTGAGTTACAGTAAAAACTCATAAGGGAAATTAGAAAATACCAAAAATGCAAATGAAAACACAATATGTACATGCTAAGGGATACAACAAAAACAGCCTTCAGAGGGCAAATTAGAGTGTAAAAACTTAAAAAGAAAGATAGGAGATTAAGACTTAAGTGTACAACTGAAGAAACAAACTAAACACAAACCTAACAGAAGAAAGGGAATGATGATCAGAGAAACGATAAGGAAAAATAAAAACCTGAAAAACCATGAAGAAAGATCAGTGAAACCGAAACTAGTTTCTTTGAAAATAACCAATAAAAATGACAAGCTTTCAAATAGATAAGAGAATACTCAACATACAAGTCAGGAACTTGAAAGTGAACATCATCATCAACTTTAAAGAAATAAAAAATTATGAATAACTCTACCCCCAACAAACTGAATAGCCTAAATGAAATGGTAAATTCCTAAAATACTACAAAAGCATTTCAAGTGAAAGTGTAACATCAGAAGAGATATGTAGCAAGTAAGGAGTTTGAATCAATAATAAATATCCAACAAAAAAATATTCAGGGACTAGGTGGCATCCCTGGTGAATCTTGCCAAACATTTACAGAGGAATTAATGCTAATGTTCCTCAAACTCTTCCAGAATAGTTAAGATGAGTTAAGATTTCCTACCTACTAGGAGGCCAGCATTATCCTGATCATGAAGTCAAAGATTTTATAAGTAAAGACAAATATAGACTAATATTCTTTGAGTGTAGATGCAAAAATCCTCAACAAATTAGTCATATTAAAAGGACTATATACTGTTATGTATAATTTATCCCATGAATACAAGGGTGGTGTAGCATACAAAAATCAATGTTAAATACTACGTTGATAGAATGAAGGACAAAATCCCACATAATCATCTTAATTGATACAGAAAATGCATTTAGCAAATCCAGTACCTTTCCATAATAAAAAATAATCATGGGGCTCTCCCTGGTGGCACAACCAGTTAGAGCACAGAACTATGAAATTCTTGGAAGCCACTGCAGCACAAGTTCAATCCCCCGCCAGGGAGTTGACCCACGTGTCACAGCAGACCTCTCCTGACCCACCTGCTGCTCCCCTCAGCAGTGTATTTCTGTAGATGTGCCTGTTCTCCCCACTCTGTATTTGGTGAATCCTCTCACACCCCCACCTCCGGCCTGTACCCCAGTTCTATAAGCATAAATAAATAAATCTTTATAAAAATCATAAACTAGGAGTAAGTGTACTCCCCTCAGTTTAATAAAGAGTGCATATGATAAATCTACA